TCCATTTTAGTATCTGATTAATGATAACTTCTGGGTCTTGATGGTCGGCGATTCAATGATGCTAATGTCATTTTATGTCGTGGGTTTTTAGAATTGCAAACTAAACCACATTTCTTATATATTATGACTGTAAGGTTCTCATGCATGCCTCCTAGCCTGCATTGAGAGATGTTTAATTGATTCATGTCGTAACTTGTGACTACAAGGTTGTCCAGTTTGGTGGGAAGAATATAAAGCAGAGTTTTTTTTTAAAATAGAGAGGGACTACAGAATGTGACATTACAGGGTGATTTGTGTGTCCTCCCATATGACTCTCAAATAGTTAGTACAGAAATGCAGCAGGTCGTCAGGTAAACAAATGGAATGTTGGCCTTTATTGCAAGGGGACTGACCTAAAGAAGTAGGGTTATCTTGTCTGTTCAGGCTATTGTTGAGATCACATGTAAAGTACTGTGCACAGCTTTAGTGGTCTTAAGGAAAGATGTACCTGAATTGGAAGCAGTGCAGAGAAGATTAATAAAGCTGATTCTTGGGATGATAGGATTGTCTTATGAGAAAACGTTGAGCAGATTTGATCCACACTCTGATTCTGATGAAGACTGGAAATGTGTTTCTTTCTCCACAATTGCTGCCAGATTGGCTGAGTTTCGCCAGCATTTTTTTTTAGAATATTGGATCCATAATCATTGGAGTTCAGAAGGATAAGAACTGATCTTATTGAACCATTAGGTTCTGAGTGGACTTGACAGGGCAGAAGTAGAGCAGACATTTTCCTTGAGGAAGAACCCAGAACAAGGGGTTTCCCATTTAAGACAGAGTTAGTCATAGAGTCATACATGGAGAGGATTTTTTTCTCAGAGAGTTATTAGTTTTCAGAATTCTGTTGCACAGTGAGCAGTGGAAGCTGGGTCATTGAATACATTCAAAGCTTGGTTAAAGTGATTTTTGATTTACATAGGAGACTAGCGTTTCAGGGTCAGACAAGACTAACAATTAAGACTACAATCAGATCATCTGTGATCTTCATGAATGATGGAGCAGGCTCAACTAGCTCAATGGTTTATTTTGGCTTCTACTTCCTGTGACCTTGAGTGCATTTAGTCATATGTTCTCTCTGTCCTCTTTTCCATCTGCTCCACTGTAATGTGCCAACCCATAGTCACTACGTCAATGCTGTCGGGCAAGAAGCCCTTCTGTTATTCACTTCTGTCACAGTTGTGCTTTTCAAAATGTTCCCCTTTCACAAATGGAATTGCTCAAAATAAGGTACTTTTTTATGACACATGTTTATTCTTCATCTGAATAATTTACTTTTGCAGTTTGTTTTAATATTTCCACTATCTTCTCCAGCATTTACTTTTATAGTACTCTCAAACACCGGAGTATCAGACTTCAAACAGTAAAAACATTAAAGTGAAGGTGGCCATTTTTCTATTAGTCAGATGAGTTTTGATCTTTTTGTTTTTGCAGTTGCCCTCCTGGAAACGCTTGAATAGAAAAACTTATAATTTTGCTTTTTGCTCATATTTTGCTTACTTTAGAAGGGAACTTGTTCTACACGAATTATACATTGCAAAGAACATGAAATCATGCTGTGTGTTTGATTTGTTGTTCACATTTATTCATTTCAATCATTGGATTATTGTTAATTCTAGTAAATTCCATACTCCTTGACATGGCTGGTTTTAAAGTTTGGAAAATCCCAGTTCTGGAAATTATTTATGAGACCTAACTGAATGGCAGGTGTTGTTTATGTATTTATTGTTTTACTGAAAAGCTTAAAATTGACTTAAAACATTGTACAGATTTGTAAAACTTTCCAACTAGTCTTAAAGAAGGACATCTAGTTGTCTTGCACCTTTAACAAAACTCAAGTTGTTACAAAAAAATCAAGGTTTACATTGTTTCCTTTTCCAATTTTCTCGTATTCACTTTCCATATTTCTGAAGACACTGCAGCTGTTTTGGGGTTCAGTTTTTGGGGTACAAAAACATGAAGATTTTCAATGAACAAACAGGTGAGTTGATGGGTTCAGTGAATTAATGATGGTAGATGTTTTGTGTGCATTTAAAGTGGGCAACCTGGATATGTCAGTTCCCTTTTACACAGTTTCATGTAATGTCATTTTTTTCCTGGACCCAAGTGTGTAATGCAGAATTGTGGTTTGTTAAAAATTCACTTGAGGGATATGGGCATTGCTGGCTGGCCAGCATTTATAGCCCATCCTTAGCTGCTCTTGGCAAGGTGATGATGAGCTGCCTTCTTGAACGGCTGCAGTCCAGGTTGGTTGACCCACAGTGTTGTTTGGGAAGGAATTCCAGGATTTTGACCCAGCAACAGTGAAGGTTCACGATATATTTCCAAGGCAGGATGCTGAATGCTTTGGAGGGGAACTTAGAGGTGATGGTGTTCCCATACATTTACTGCCCTTTTTCTTCTAGATGGAAGTGGTCTTGAGTTTGGAAGATGCTGTCTTAGGATCTTTGGTGAGTTTCTTCAGGGCATTTGCTGCTACTGAGCATCAGTGGTGGAGAGAGTGAATGTTTGTGGATGTGGTGCAAATCAGAGTGAGCTGTTTTGTCTTGGATGGTATCAAGCTTCTTGAGTGTTGTTGGGACTGCACCCATCCAGGCAAATGGGGAATATTCCATCACACTCCTGACTGGTATCTTGTAAATGACGGACAGGCTTTGGGGTGTCAGGAAGTGAATTGCTCGCGCAGTATTCGTAGCCTGTAACGTTTTGTAGTCATTGTGTTTATGTGGTGGGATCAATTGAGTTCCCAGTTAACACTAACCCCAGGATGTTGATAGTGGGGATTCAGTGATGATGACACCATTGAATGGCGAGGGGTGATGGTTAGGTTGTCTCTTGTTGGAGGTGTCATTGCCTGGCATTTGTGTGGCGCAAATGTTACTTGCCACTTGTCAGCCCAAACCTGGAAATCGTCCAGATCTTGTTGCATTTGAACGTGGACTGTTTCAATATCTGAGGAGTCACAAATGGTGCTGAACATCGTGAAATCATTGTCAGGCATCCCGACTTGTGACCTTGAGGTGGACGGGAGGTCATTGATGAAGCAGCTCAAGACGGTTGGGCCTAGGACACTGCCCTGAGAAACTCCTGCAGAGACAGCCTGGAGCTGAGATGACTGACCTCCAACAACCATAACCATCTTCCAATGTGCCAGCTATGACTCCAACCAGTGGAGAATTTGACCCCTGATTTCCATTGATTCCAGTTTTGCTAGGACTCCTTGATGCCACACTCAGTCGAATGCAGCCTTGATATCAAGGGCTGTCACCCTTCACCTCACCTCTGGAATTCAGCTCTTTTGTCAAGACCGTAATGAGGTCAGTGACTCTGGTGAAACTACAACTGTGTTTCACTGAGCAGCTTATTGCTGAGCAGGTGCTGCTTGATAGCACTGTTAATGACACCTTCCTTCACCTTACTGATGATGGAGAGTAGATTGATAGGATGGTAACTGCCTGGTTGGATTTGTCCCGCTTTTTTTGTACAGGACATACCTGGGCAATTATCCACATTGTTGATTAGATGCCAGTGTTGTTCAGCAGCTACATTGCTGAAATATAAATGTGGCCTGTATTCACTTAAGCTAATTAATTTGTTCACACCGTAGTCTTAGAAATTTGTTCTAATCGGTCTGCAAGTTCATCTGATGAAAATCAGAACTCACTTTTGCTATGGAGGGGAGGTCGACACCTCTCTGACAATTAAAACTGAAACACCCAGAGAAGCTCACCTCGCCTGGTAATCTGTTAAAGGTAATGGGAAAAATGGTATAATCTGTCCCTCGCCCCCAACCTGTTATAAAGGAGTGGTTAAATGAAAGAAATCACTGGTACTCACTTTATAAGCAACAAGTAACAATGTATTTATCTAACTCCAACAGTGAACAAATTAACAGAACTACTAACAAACCAAACAGTTCCCCCCTTAACTACTAACTGTTCCTGAATAAAACAAAATTCTAATGGTGTGCTGTTCCAATAAATGCAAGTCCCACTTATATAAACCAAAGTAATAAGAAAAAATAAATTAAAAATTAGTCTCTCGAAATTACAGCCAGGATAAGTCTTCCGGAATATTCTTTGACTTTTCCGCTGTTTTCCATTTAAGAGCGCCTTTGGCTGTCGAATTCTTGTCAGGAATATTAGCTAACCGTGCCATAGCACCTTTATTTAGATGATGCTTACTGTGGGAGCTTAGAGATTTCTATAAGACCCAGTGAGTTTTTCATCAGATGGCTGTTTGGTCTCGCACTGATTTTCAAATAACCTCCTCTTTTATACCCTTGATGACCCATCAGTTTCTTACAATAGGATTGGTCCTACGTTGTCAAAACCATCAGATTTATATTTAATTAGGTTTTGGTATCTAGGGCCTGGTTTAAATTAATTGGCTAAATTCAAAAACCTGTTGCCTTGGTAAAAACGCAGCTTAGCCTGCTAACAGTATAGCCTTCTGATAGTGTTTCAATTTCAAGAACATTCTGTGCATCTGCTGCCTGCAGACATTTTTTTTTTAATCTCCAAACCAGAAAACACATAATCTTTTAAAGGGACCACACACACACACTTACCCTCTATCTTTTAACAAACAAATTCTAACATCCTGCTTTCCAATCCACAGATACTATGTGCAACCTTACAACAGTTTGCTTAAACAAAGAAGTCAAAGAAAGCATGTATAAAGTTGCTCACAGTCACTTTAGAAGTAGTTTTGATAATACTATGATACCCACAGCAGGAGGACTGCAGCAGTTCACGAAGGCAGCTCACCATCACCTTCTCAAGGGCAACTAGGGATGGGCAAGAAATGCTGGCCAGCCAGCAACTCCCACATCCCACAAAATGAATAGAAAAAAAAGTATTAAATAAAAGTAGGAAAAGTCCCTGGCCGTGAATTTATGAATAGCATGATATCTTGTAAAAAAAAAACTGTGTCAACCAAAAGAAATGCATTTTATTTTGCAGGTTCTCCTCTTGTGGTCTCCCTTATTGGTGCACTGTTGCGAGAATTTCCAAAGCGCTGGAAATATTATCTCAGCCAGCTACAAAATAAACAGTTCAAAAGAATTCGCAAATCTTCCTCCTATGATTATGAAGCACTCGATGAGGCCATGGCAAGCAGCATTGAGGTATTGGATGATTACAAAGAATACTACAAAGATCTCTCTATACTGAGAAAAGACGTGAAAGTCCCAACTAAGGTAAGTTTATGGAAACGGGTATCATCAACTGAACACTGATTGCTGATCTAGATTGACCTAAAATCTACTGCCTGCTGATTTATGTGTGTGTTTTTAGAAATTAATGCAAATGGCTTGATGACTGAACATCTGGGAATTCAGAAACAAAAGCAGAAGTGTCAGCAGATCTGGCAGCATCTGTGGAGCTAAATCAGAGTTAATGTTTTGGGTCCAGTGACACTTCCTCAGAACTGATGGTAGCTAGGAAAAGTTGGTTTTAATGCAGAAGATAGGGTGAGGTGGGTAAAGGAGTAAACAATAGATGAAGATAGAGCCCAAAGAGAGAGAAGTACAGTTGGACAGACAAATAAGTGGACAACAGAGAT